ACAAATATCTGACTTTCATGAGGCTGTCGCATTTTTTAACAAACAGTACGAGGAAATTAAAACTGTTCTAAAGGATAAAGTTGCTACGTTGACTAAGTTACAACAAAATAATGAATCCATGCAATGTACTATTAAAGATTTGTCGTTTAGGTTGTGTTCCCTCGAACAGAGCATGCGTGAAAGCAACCTGGAGATTAATGGTATCCCAGAGCACAAGTCTGAAAATCTAGTTAATACGGTTTTGCAATTAGGCAATGTGATAGATCATCCTATCAATGAAGAGGATATTCTGAAAGCAACACGTGTTATGAAGTTTAACAAAGAGAGTGACAGACCTCGAAGCGTTATTGTTAAACTGAAGAGTCCACTATGTCGAGATTCTGTAATAGCAGCAGTTACAAAGTTTAATAAAAAGAACGCAAAAGACAAGTTAAGCTCACATCACTTGGGTATTAGCGGTGCTCGGGTACCTGTTTTCGTAGCAGAGCATCTTATACCAAGTAGTAAGACTTTACATGCTGCAGCAAGAAAGAAGTCGAAAGAATTGAATTACAAGTTCGTGTGGGTTCGTAACGGCCGAATTTACGTGCGTAAAGATGAGTCCTGCAAAGCAATACTGATTCGAGATATGGATAGCTTACATCTTATCACATAAATTGTCTATAGTTGCATTTAATGTTTTGGTGCATTTCTGATCAATTCGATAGTATTAATATTTACTACCAAAATGTTCGCGGAATGCGAACTAAAACCAACGAGATAAGAAAAAATATTTCGCTATCGAACTACGAAATAATTATATTTACAGAAACATGGCTAAATTCTAGCATCTCCAATAATGAATTAGTTGATATGAGATATAATATCTATCGACGAGACCGTTGCGAGACCAACAGCTCAAAAAAAGATGGAGGTGGCGTGCTCATTGCTGTTTCCAAGCAAATTTCATCAGTCCGAATGAAGAACTGGGAATGTGACTGCGAGGACTTATGGGTTTGTCTGAATTTGATTGTAGGCAGCAAGATGAAAAAGGTAGCTATATCAGCGGTCTACCTTCCCCCTCCTGCACAACATAGTGTTCTTAATAATTATCTTCATAGTGCGAACGATGTACTAAGTTCTGTAGAAGACATTATAGTTGTTGGCGATTTTAACTTAAACTTCTTAAAGTGGCGAAAGCACATTGATTTCTCATACATGATTCCCGACAATTATAACAACTCTCTAGGATACTGTTTTGTAGATTTTATGTCTGTAAATGAACTGTACCAATT